GCGTTGCATTGCATCGCGCCGCGTAAACATAAAACTCAGTCTGCATTTGTGATCGGAGAAATGACAAACAACAAGCCCTACTCTACACTCTAAAAAATGCTGGGTTGTTTCAACCCAACTTTGGGTTTACATTTTTAACCCAAAAGTTGGGTTAGTCCATATTTGACCCAAAGTTGGGTTGAAACAACCCAGCATTTTTTAGAGTGTAGAGTAGGGCTTGTTGTTTGTCATTTCTCTGATCACAAATGCAGACATGGTTTTATGTTTACGCGGCGCGATGCGTCATTATAATCCGTAATTATGTCCCCACTGGATGCAACAATTAAATGCCTCGTTTAAAATGGGCTTTATTGTTTTTGTCTCGTCGCTCCGGCCGGAGGCATCATCACAGTATGGTGAGGGGCGTAACATTTCCGTCTCACGCTTGAGGTATTCGGCCAATCACAACGCACTGGATAGCTGGCCAATCACAGCACACCTCGCTTTTCAAAACGATGAGCTTTGTAAAAATCGACGCGTTTCAGAAAGGCGGGGCATAGAGGAGAAACAATAATGTACAGTATGTGGAAAATAATGTGTTTTTTGAAACTTAAACCGCATAAACACATTTCATAACACCAAATACACAAAATAATGTTCTTTTTAGCAGCATCATATGACCCCTTTAAAATATATTTTGATTCCATGCAAAAATATAAATTTATTTAAAATAACGCATCAAAAGGGTTTTTTAACAGTTTTCCCACCCTTTTTCTTTCCTTACATGCTAGCTCCTTATCAACTAGGACATAAGAAAATGGTGCTTTCCACTACACCTGCAGTGTCATTACTACACATGAAGTTGTAAGTCTAACAGTGTAAACAACAGTCATTTGTATACGATCAATTATTCTACTAACCTGTAGAAGAACACCTCATCCACAGGTATCTGACTCTCCTCTTTGGCCAGATATTCCTCACAGTTAACTGAAAAAACAAACAAACAAATAAAATAATTAAAGAGAGAAAGAAATCTGTCCTGTTGTTCTTCCTCATAGCATGTTAAACCAATAGTTCTGTCTCTAAAATGTAACAGAACAAGTTGTTCTTAATTAATCTACCATTAACGTCCAACCCACTCCCTTACCCCCCATTTTAGGATGGCTTTATAACATTTTTTGAATATTGGTTACCTGGACTTTCAGTGGAGGAACAGAAACCTCTCATATTTCATTAAAAATATCTTAACCAAAGTCTTATGTGTTTGTTACAATGTGAGGGTGAATAAATGATGACAGTTTTAATGTTTTACATCCCAAGATCTATCTTTTAGTCCAAGCAGTTTTAATTTGATAGCGGAGTAAAATTTCACTAAACATTATTTATAGCGCTCCTCCCATCTAATATGAACTCTCCCTGTGGGTCAAATGGATAATAATAATTATAATAATAAAAAAATTTGATGGCCAAAAGTTTGAAGTTGCTAAAAAAAAAAAAGCTGAAGTTTGAATATTTTAAAGTCATGCAGTCTAAACCTCGCTTCTGGTCATCTAACAACATTAAGACCCGTTTACACTAAGACAAATGTTTGATATTAATGCCTGTATAGCTGATGTGCGCGAGCTGATAAACAAAGCACGCTGAGTGGATTGAGCGCGCGGCGGCGCAGATGCACGAGCTTGTCGAGTGAATATATCTTTCTCACAGACATCACTGGAAAGTTTGTAGTTCGGTTGGATATGTCAAAAACAAGTAAGTAAAACAATGCACAAGTTACTTAACGGTAGAGAGAGAGAGAG